ATTATTGACATCAATAGAATTATTAATGTCAGTAAGATTATTATCGATTATTAATAATAACGGGGCACCACCCTGTGAACAGGGACCAATAACCAAACTATAAACTAAGTCTCATAATTAGTGTTCACTCACAATGTCAGTAGTCTGAGTACTATTACACATTCAGAGTGAAAGTGAAGGTTTAAGTTCGAGCAACAGATCACATATCAGCTATTATCACAATACATGCACAAAGTAATCACAGACAGCTGCTCTTTAAAATATAACAGTTTATTAAGTTCCAATAATAATGATCTAGTCAACTAATATCTAAAACTAACAACAAAACTATACATTCATGAGCACGCTATCTAAAATCAACAAACTGGTAGGAGGAAAAGTGTGTGTGTGTGTGCATTCATGCGTGTGTGGGTGGGGGAGAGGCAAGACAATAGCTCAGACAACGTGTGATGTAATCTAAACGTAGCTACGTCACGTGGAACTACACTCAAAAATGGAGTCTGCGCGTGACCACGCTCACGAGACTACAAAATGGCGATAGACAATAGAGAGATCGCGTTATCTGCATTAGCTTCACACTATATGTGTGTGTGTTAGTAAAAGAAGAGAGAAAGCAAACAAACAAAATAAATCCTTGATGTACTGTACACCGTAGTGTACGTAGTGAAGGTAGTGTATGGTGTGCAGTTCAAACAAACACTGATCTTTCATCCAGGAGGCCGTTGTTCGTTCCCCATGTGAAACGAGAAGTAAATGTTGATTGTTTTTGTCCCATTACTGCTACAGTACTTCTACACCATACACTATGCCTTACACTACACTGCACCATACACTACGTACACTACTGTGTACACTACTGTGTACACTCATACACTACACCATACACTATGTACACAATTTACACTATCCGTATACTACACGGTATATTACGTCGTACACTACACTGTACAATCGACCAAGTGCAGTTACGGCAGTTCCCCGCGGTGTCGCTGCAGTGATCAACTGGGAGTACCGCCTACACTGAGGGGATACTATCTGCCACAGAAGAGAGAAAAGGACCTGGGAACAAAAGTGAGTCGAGTAGAGTCTGTGGGGCGACTGTGGCTAAGTGGAGAGCAGGGTCGTCCTTCAATCAGAGGATCGGCGGTTCGATCCCTGGCTCCCTAAAATTGCTCCCGTAGCTGTGCCTGAATGAGTTAACCTGGTGGCAGGTGGCAACTTAGACCCTGTCTATCAGTGTGTGAATGGGTAAATGATGACACGTAGTGTGAAAGCGCTTTGAGTGGTGGGAAGACTAGAATAGCGCTGTACAGACCATTTACCATTTAGAGTCATGTGATGCGGTGGAAAAGAGGCATTTATAAAGTAATGAGCTAAATATACTACAAGAGTAACTTTCCTGCTATAACTTTGCCCTGTTTTTTATAGACAGTCACACGTCAGTGTGATCACACCATAGAAGACAAAAAACAGTGAACAAACTCCATACCACTATATCACCTCCTTGTTTCTTGTTCATCCACTCATTGATCAAGACTATTGAATTTATGCTAACCACAGTGTGTGTGTGTGTGTGTGTGTGTGTGTGTGTGTGTGTGTGTGTTGGCCTGCCTTACTGCTGGCATGGCTGACAGGGTAATTAGTTCTAATGAAATAACGCAGCCATTGTGGACAACAATTAAGGGTAGCTTTCATCCCTCTCATTAGGCTGAGTGGAGGAGCACTTTCATTTGCTCCGATTCTTAATGATCTGATCTGAAGGACACACCCACTGATTGAATGAATCCTCACACACATGGATGCACCTACACATGTTCGTACATGGCCACACTGGAGACATTTTAATTCATATATCTTTTTTAAAATTGGTTAAATATTTATACAAACCTTTAAAAAAGAGGCGAAGTCCAGATATTATGATTTTTAATAAGCAAAACATAACAAATCAGGAAATTAACATCCAAATATCATCCCAGCATAAACACATACTTGAGAAAGACGGCAAAAATACATAAATAAATAAAATGAAATAAAAAAAAAACATATGAGGGAGAAATTTACAATTACAGAAAGTGCTTACTGAGCAAATCAAGCTCAATCTACTCCAATACAGGTTATTGTTGGCCATACATAACCAAAATATGTATTAAGGGAAAACCACCATAATGTCTAGGAGACAAGGTTGGTTTATTAGGTTTATTATATAGTTTAAACCTACAGACCTGAATTAAATCCTATATGCATGAATGTTCACTTTCTATTGAGTTTAGTTTTGTGTTGACTTTATGTTAATTTCAAAGCAACTGATTCTTATTAAATTCAGTCTACCCCATTTGTATTCATGGTGGTAGTATCATGTACTTCTGTAGCAGTATTACTGATGCATGAATACATCACATGAATTGTAATATTGTAGCTGGTTGAGTTGGAGCAAAAGTTACCCAGTTTATTCTACAATAATGCATCATTTATAAACTATTTTGGACATGTGAAGTAGTGTATCAGCATGTTGCACAAGGTTAATCAGCCAGTGTGCTGCCTCCGACATGAGGTGATTTATGAGAAGTGAGCAGTTACCTTCCTCTCTTACTGCTGTTGATGACTAGACACTCTAAACCTGCTACAGCAGGAGACATTTTAGAATGAAACATGAACCATTGTTACAGAAAATGACAATAGCGGCAGTGAAGTGTCAGCCTTCGCCATAACATACAGTAGGCCTACATATGTAGTGTGGTCAGTCACACTCATTCACCCTCATTCATAAATATGAAAGAAAAACATCTCAGTGACTTCTTCAAATGGATTTTTTGCCGTTCACACCCCAACTCGGACCTCTTTTTCTTGATTGATCATTATCTTGTGACACACACACACACACACTCACACTCACACACAGGCAGTAACCACACAGCCCTCTACTGAGAGGGGGAGCACCAGAAAGAAAACCGAGGTGGTTGGGCTCAATGACTCGGGAGAGAGAGCGAGCTCTGATCCGTCCTACCCTGAAATAAGAAACAGAAAAACATGGCAATGACAAAAGCCATTCAATCTTATATTCATTTAACAATCTTTGATACGTTTTTTTCTTTTTTCACGGCACATATTTTGACTCTGATCAAACTCTGTCTCCTACAAAATGTGGTTGTCATACAACTGAACCACAATCTCAATTATATTTCGAGGGAAATGCATTTTCTTGGGGATTTGGTTAACATTGTATATTAAAACATTGTTGTATTGTTGTAAGGAGACCATGTCCATTTATTCAGCTTTATAGTTCTGCAATGTAAAGGTGTAACATACTGTATGTATATGCAACATGTGTGTTTTGCTGATGGACATCTTCAGGGCTAGAGCTGTGACCTTGCCTTTGCTCTGCTGCCTGCTCCATGTTTATTTATTTATTGAAATAAACTACTTTATTCAAGGTCTAGTTATGAGGAGCACAAGGCTGAGCATTATCATACTGCCTGGCAAGGTTAGTGTTGCTCAACATAGCCATGAGTTCATCCCAGCTGCTCAAACTCAGCTTCTACTGATGGGCTTATTTATTTATCATACTTATTTATACTGAAGCTAAAAATAGTTGCTATATTAATTCATTTGGAAATCAAATACACTACAAATGACGTCATCATTTTCTTGAGGGTATTATTGTGGAAGCAGACGCAGCAGTGTCTGCTGCTTTTAGAAACAGAGAGGAGAAAACTATTCAAAATAAAAAGGACCTGAAACATACTTTTGGGGATTTTCTTCAAACAAAAAAGAGAATCTTGATTGTAATAATACAGAAATTAAAAAAAACACAAAAAAATCGAAAACCGCAAGCAATTAAAATATTTTAGCAATATTTAAGAGTGATACAGAAACAAAAAAAGAATGAATAGAAAGAGTTACATTCGATTTAATTAGGGAATAGCATAATGGTAGTGGTTAGTAGAACCTCTGCTCCATTCATCTGCTCGTCCAGTCACAGAGACTGAGGGGAAGTGACACAAAGCACAAAACCTAAAGCAGAGAAAACATTTGGGGGTGGAGCCTCAGACGCCACCAAAGGTTCCACTCCTACTAGCCGCGTGTGATAGGAGGCCCATAAACAGCCTGATATACTGTCCAGTCTAATGCTATTTGCTTGTTTTCCCATATCTCTGCTGTACATTGGATCCTAGTGAGGCTAAAATAGAGACGTGTCTTCACAGTACCTGCTGGAGCTTTTGCCATTTTTAAAAGCTATAAGGCCAGGTCTCATCTTATTTAAACATGCATTCACCACCAACATCAATGTGCTGGGAGGCGTGGCCACTAGCACCAAGTCACACTCTACAGTAATTAGCCAATTAAAATGAGGCATGGAGCCAATCAAGACCATTAATAGATTAGAACCTCCACCAAATGCCTGGTTAGACTGGTGAGAGAGGGCGTTGGCAGGTAATTACCATGGTGGTCTGCATCATGAGCAGATAAACAAATGTATGGCTCATCATAAGCCTTGATGGGCTAATTCTTTGGCTTCCACCCCCACACCCCCTCAAATATCAACCATTTCCTGTATTAACTGAGAGGGCCTTTGCCTCCACTAAAAACACTCCAGCTCTGCTCTCTTCTTCTTTGAGAGAGGAGAGGAAAGCAAGATGATGGCCATCATTAAGATCAGCGGTGCGTACTGAGGCGTTGCACTGCTATAGCGTCCGCATCCACCACCGTAATGTTCATTAACACCTCATAGCCCTAGTCCCCCCCCCCACACACACACTTTATTACCACCACAGAGCAAACACAGCATTAAACGGCATTAAGAGTAAATGGATATTTTATTAATCTCATTGTCGGGTGAAGAGGAGTTTGTTAATTCGGAGCATTGACTGCTTGACCTTTATAGTGTTTTTTATTCTAGAGTAAGAGAGAAGAGCGCAGGTCGCCATGTTCTAATTATTTCCTCCCCCTTCCTTCTTTTCTCCTCGTCCCCTGCCCTCCTTCTCCCTCCCTGTCGTCCACAGCAATTTGGCAAGATTTTAGACGTGGAGATTATTTTTAACGAGCGAGGCTCCAAGGTAAGTGTGCTGCAACCACACATCCATGCACACACTCACACACATAGCGTTCTCCAGCCAGCTATGTTTGTCCCCTGTCCCCTTCTTCTCTTGCAGTCCTCTGCTCCTCTCACTGTCTCCACAGCTCTCTCTCTCCTTCTGTCTAATAGTAATTACCAACCCGAATCAGTGACACTTGCCTGCAGGCAACTTTTACTCCTTACCGGCCTGCCATGCATTGTGACATACAATGAATCGCTCACACTTCTCTTGACGCTGACAGTAGGATTCACACGGTCTGCAAACACATGGCTGTCTCACCTGTTTAGGTTCTGGACCGATGCCGAGAAGTAGGAACACACTGTACATATTCCTCTCCCAGGATAGTTTACATCTATATATCTGTATTGCTCATTTATATCACCAGAAACAGTATTATATTACAACAGTGATTCACCCTCTAGCCATGTCATGAAGCTTTGACTTTTAGAATTTGCAACTATATTTCACAAAAATAACACTATTTGTCCTACTGATCTTATTTGTGTTTTATATTTATTCATTTACTCTTTCATTTATGCACACACTTGTTTTCATTATTTAATGTTTTGTTTTTGTTGTGTCATTTGTTACATTTATGATTAGGAGCTTCTTTGGTATGCTCTAAACGACAATCTCATACCAGCAATGATAGACTAAATTATGGTCAGTTATGATAGTTCCCTGTCACCCTAAACTGCTTGAAATTAGTTCATTCTCAACATATGTTGCATGGAGAAATTTGAGAAAGAAGTATGTTGCCGCTTGTTCGATTACATGGTGCTGCAGATATCTCTGAGCAAACCTTTTTACTTATGGCTGCAATCGAATTTCACCATGTTTCCTTTTGATGTGTCATCCATCTATATATGCTGGTGTTTTTCATTTATTGACATACAATATATTTATGATAGACAAAAGTAAGTTGCAATACATTATTTGTATGCAATAATTATTGGTTATTTATATACAGTATATTTGTATTAGTGCTGGGCAAGTTAACGCGTTATTATCGCGTTAACGCATTCATTAATTAACGCCGACAATTATATTATCGCGCGTTAACGCAGTTTTTTAAAAATTATTAAACAGACATTTTTAACACAAAAACCGGGCAGCGAGTGGTGAACAGCTGTGTTTGTGTGGCGTCACTTCCTTCTGCTGCCGCTCTCCCCCCCACCGGGTGACACGCCAGATCCGGAACCCCCCTTCACTCCGTCACCGCTGGTCCCTCCTCTCTCTCTCTCTCTCGCTCTCTCTCGCACGCACGCACGCACGCAATCGTCTCGTTACAGGATCGTGACAATATCAAAAAACATATTGTCGTGTTTTTAAATAAACATATAAGCACATGAGAACAAACTGCTCTTAACTGCAACTCTTTATTAGCATAACTTCCTCATGCATGTGACTTCCACGGTACACAATACAGGTTCCATGCTTCACCTACATTCCCCTGGGTCCTAAGTCCCTCCATGTACAGCTTCTTATCACCCTCTATGTACCAACGTACGTTTATAACAAATAACACACATATTACACGGTAATCAGCGTTGCATATGTGTCTGACCAAAATACCAAAAAAAGCAAAAAAGAAATGATTCATTTCGATTCTTTTTTTCGAGTTTGTGTTTTGTTTGTAATATATATAATAATCACATCATTTAGTTATCGCTACTGAGAATTCAACAAACATAAAAACATGACGTAGATAGGTTTGCAGTTTTCAAGGTGTATTTTTCAAATTGCATCTCTTACACACATGAAGATAAAGTTATGAACACCGGCTGAATATCTATTATCAGAATCATAACCGTGTTATAACTGCTACTGTGTAAAGGGAATACTGTGTTAAAAAGAACCTGATGTGTTTCAAGTGTTTGCAAATCAAAGGTTGTTGCACTTTTATTCATATAGCAGTACTTTTAAAATAAAAGTGTGCAATACACTACTTTTGAATTCATTATTGAATTTTGCGCATAACAATGAGATTAATCGCGATTAATCGCAATTAAAAATTGCAATCGTTGCCCAGCACTAATTATATTAATATTAACACAAGGGTCATAGGATACTTGTGATTTAGCATGCTCATTAAAGGGTAACACAGAGAACAACACTAATTATTACCACATAATAAAGAAAAGAAAGCCGACTCTCTGCATTAAAGCAGCGAACGTATCTATTCGTGGGAACAAAATGTCAAAGGGATTCATTTTTTGATAAATTGATAAAGCATTACACCAGAACTCTGGAATCTGGTTCCAAAAAGAGTTTCAGGGGTGTGATGGAGTTTTGAAACAAGGACGCCTCTATGCAGGAAATAGCACAGTCATTTCCATGACCAGAATCAGTCCCAGTGAGACAATGATCTTTTTTTATTGGTATCAGCCAATTGAATATGTGTTATCAGAGGTTATCACTGCCATTCCAATGCCTCAGAAGGGCCAAACTGCACCTGCCACATTGTGAAAGAGAAGGTGAAACTTAACCTTGTGAATTGAAACAAACAACCTGAGGTTCAGGCCACAAAACCACTTGGTTAGTCAGGGAAAAGATCATGGTTTGTTTTAAAATAACTAGCCTACGTTGGTTATGTAACTTAGGCACGTGGTATTAGTTCAGTAATATGTAACTTATGATAATGTCAGTCAACATTGACTTTTGCTTTCAAATGGGAAACAAGCAGAAGTCTCTTGAGTCAAAGTCCTGTGTTTGTTCCACCCATGCATCCATCCACCTTGACCTCCTCCCTGCATATAGCTTTGTTGCTCTTTAAACTACGTCACCTGACTTTTGAGCCTCACATAATTACTATGGCCACAAGAGGTCAGCGATCGTATCGGCGATCAACCATGGGCGTGATGATGAATGATAATATCGGTCTTCTGGACCTACTAGTAGGTGTAGGCCCCTTCTAACCCATATCTATGAGGCTGAGAACCACCAACAACACCCACTGGCCATACTGGAGCTGTGATGGCCGACAACAGTCTCTTGTGTTCCTCAACAATTTGCACTGTGGTTGCAAAATAAGATTTGTGTATCTTAGCAGCACAGAAAATAATTCTTCCTATTATAATGTCTTCGTCATTATTGGCATACATGCAATCTTTCAATACACCTCTTAATTAAATTGATCAATTTGTGATCCAAATAAAATAACTTACAAACACTGGACTGTCCCTCAAGACAAAAGTGACTTCTTGTGACACACCATGATCATTCCCTCCTAACCAAGTCCTTTTTGTCCCTAAAGCCAAACCTTGAAGTTATTTTACCACCTCATTCTGTAGCCTCTCTGATCATCTTACTGCTTGTGTTTCTTGACACCTTCTGACTTGTTATTGATGTCGCTGTGTTCTGACATCTCATCAATTAACCTGGTGAGTACATCGTTATGGTAACTGTTAGAGCCGATGGCTGGAGCAACAACAAGTAAAAGCTGAGTTGTAATTAACAGTAGTTGTCTTTTAAACACTGTGGTGGTGAATCAGGAGAGAGCAATGGGTTTTTCAGGAGGCAATGAAAAAATGACAAAAAATGCTGTTTTGTTCGAAGGACTCATCTTAAAACTATTAAAACACATGCACTTCCGGTTGCCTCGTCTCTAAGTCAATGTGGTTTTTTTTAATGGGTTTTTGGTTCGATGTCTGAAATAATTTCTGTTGTTAACACAAGCTTAAGAGATTTTAACATTTTGGTATACAACAATAAATAGCTTTTTACTTCTAATCATTGCATTCACAATTAAAAAATACAAAAAGTGGTGTTTATTTGTGAAGATCATCATGCTGAACAGAACGTGTACGTATCATGATCGTTTGTTTACCACTGAGCTTATTTTCTGCAATAATGAAAAATCCAATGGAAGAATCCCATTATCTTTTTGTGGAGGGAACCAGTGTGGTGCTAACGTCCTGGTTGGCCTGCAGAAAGACGTCATCCCTGTAGCACTCTATACTGTACAAATGATGAACATGTCAGTAGGCTATACAAGGAAGAGAACAGCATTTTTGCTTTATGTGTCCACAGGACTAAGTGTGATTAAACAGGTGCCCACGGCTCTAATATGTCTCTTTGCAAGTTCCTGATAAAGTTCAACAACACTGATGGATAGAATGGAACATTTAACACACAGGCAGTAATCAATGAGAGCAGAGATGATTCTTCAGCTCTCACTCTATACCTCATTGACATAGATAGATGAGTCTTTTGTGGTTTAGGCTTCCGAGGCATGTTTTACCGCATATGGGCTGTTTGACTGAGCGGCATCTCCAGGCCCAGTCTGGGACACAGACAGGGTCTCATGAGCGAGCTGCGTCCCGGGGCTCAGAGAGTCACGGCTGACTGATGCCGTGGAGATTGTAATTGTATGGCACTTATCTGCTCTCCCACAGGGGCCTCTGCAGACCAGCAGAGCACAGCAAACACACACACACACACACACACACACTCACACAAACATATGCACATCCCAAACTCCATTGTGTATGTGGAGGCTTTCATTCCATCAGCTAAATCAATTAGGTCTAGTTGTTTATGTAAATACATGTGCAGTAGAGTCCGAGATAGAACGGAGAGTAGAAACACACAGACACACACACACACGCAATGACGAGGCGGCTATTTAAGTATAATCAGAGCTCTTGTATGTGGTTTGATGTCCTGTGTCCCCATCTGTCCTCTCTCCTACTCATGTTTGTCTAAGCAGCCTGACGTCTCTCTGGCCTCTGCTTCTAGATCTAGACCTCCTCCTGACCGGCAGCGCTCTCATCTGTGCTTTGTGTCTTTTTCTCCTCTCCTCCTTCCCCCATTTGTTTCATTATTTTATTTCTGGACTTCCTCCCTCTGTCGCTTCTGTTTTTCAAACCCACCTCCCGGCCACTGCAGGGCTTTGGGTTTGTAACATTTGAAACGAGTGCAGATGCTGACCGTGCACGGGAGAAACTAAATGGTACAATCGTAGAGGGACGCAAAATAGAGGTGCCTTCCTTTTCCTGTCTCTTCTTACCTATGTCCCCCACTCTTCTTTTTTTAATCCTCCCCCGACTCTTTCTTCCTTTTCTGTGCCTGCCTGAAATTTCTTGCAATACCCCCCTTCCTCTCTCCCTCCATCCATTTCCTCTCTCCTGCCTGCTGCACCTTGAACGCTGCATGCTGAGCCCTGATCAGTAAGTGTGTGTGACAAAGAGAAAGACAGACCTATTCAGTGGTGTGTGAGTGTGTTGCCTTGTTCTTGTTTTTTTATACAAATGGTGAATTCTACTTTGCTCATGATGGATTGTGTCATGTGTGTTTGCGTCTGCGGCATGTGCATGGGGTCACAGCGGTTTGCATCTGAGTTAGAAACCCACTTATTGAAAAGAAAGCCTTTCCAAATGGAGATCAATGATCTGCCAGTGAGCCCTCAAACCTTAGCAGCTAGTGTTCAATTTTGATGTCACCGTCCTCTGGCATGGCGAGTGAAATCGCCCCCATCTTTCTGTCTGTCGGCTCATTCTTTTTCTGTTTCCATTTGAACTCACCAGGGTTCATCTATTAGAAGAATCTTACGGATGTTTGCGATACTAATATGTTTTACTGGATTGATCTTGACAAATATTCACATCTCTTAGACGTGACGCTTATTACTACCACTATGTTTTCCTGTTAACATTGATGAAGAAACATTCATATGGCCTGCTTCCCAATAAATAATTGTTTGGTGAAGACGGGGTGGATGGTGTGTGTACAAAACACAGCACTTTGACACTAGCGATCAGGGTTCTGAATGTGGTTTGGGTCAGCCAATAAAAGCACTCTGATTTAGGTGAGAAATCATCGTTAGGTTATATGTTAACAAAGTAAACATGTGGTGACTTTTCCCACTTTTATCACGGACCACCATCTTCCTTAACATTAAATGAAGGCCTATACAGGGCCTTAACACATGTATTGATGCTTTTGTCGTGGTCTGAGTGATATTATATTGGAAGAGGGAATATTGTTGGAAAACAAGACTTGGCAAATTTGTTGATTAATATAGATTCCTCATTAAGTTAAGAATAATCTGAATCTGAACGGCATAGCATTCCCTCCAAACATATTTGCTGTTGCAAAATGTATGTATTTATATATTTATATTTAGTTTAATTCAGATTAACATCATTTCTAAGATGCAGAGCTGCATGCAATTCAAAGGAGGTGTGGTAAAAAAGGAGCATTGAGCTCTTATTGTGAAATTATTAATAACTAACCTGTAAAATAAAGTGTGACCAAGTTGTATGTCCAACTCTTGTTGGACATAGATGTTTACCATCTTAATAAGCCAGAACCAGTGAACACAGCATGCACAACAAGGTAAAAGGAAAACATATAACAATGCAAAATGTTGCAGTCCTCACAGTATTTTGTGGCTCCACATAAACCTTTAAGACAAAGTCAGATTTCAGCCAAACGTAGCCAGATTTCCACCTCAAGCCCAGACATCTTCTCACCTGCAGATCGTCCAGATCTGGCTCACTGGGAAACCCGTGTGCAGCACATTGCTAAACAGGGAGGAGATTTCCAACTGTGTGTGTATCAGAGCAGACACGATGGATGCAGGTTGTGTTACTGCCATTTTTCTGGATAGAAATGACACAACAAGAACTCCTCCAAAACTGGACATCAAGCATTTTTTCAGACCTTCAATTGAAATATATTATTTTTACAAACTGAAAAATCTACCCAACCATTCTTGTGTTTAAATGTTGTTTGAATTTTCTTATCTTCTCTGATGTTGTTGAATGTTTTTCAACATCAGATCTTTGACTCATTGCATCTCGCCTCACTTGTTGAAAAGATGAAATAGCAGCATGGCATGGAGAGTGTTGTGATGTGCATTATCCACAGTATGCACGTTTCTTTTCCTGTTTGTGTGTGTTGGTGTGTGTGGGTGTGAGTGTGTATCTGCTCTCACACTAACCTCTATCTGTCTGCTGACAGGTCAATAATGCCACAGCCAGAGTAATGACCAACAAAAAGGTGTCAAACCCCTATACGAACGGTAAGATTTCAGCCTTTTTTCCATCCCTTCTCAGTTCTTTTGTACATCTTCTGATAGCTGCTTTCATTTCATTCTTCTCCTTCTCTTAGTGCTTTCTGTTTTCTCCACTCTCCAGTTTTCTTGCCCATCATCGCATTCCACTGCCAGTATCAGACCTGGCTACATTACAGAGCAACAGATCGTATGGTCGTGTAGAAGGAGTATCATTATGATCCAATTTTACCCATTGAACTTGGACTGTGAAGGGAGAGGAAACCAAAAGCTACAAACGGAAGCCAGGCAGCAGATTCAGATTCATACAAAAAGATTTGTTCACATTTGATTAATGGAATCAATATTTGCCAAAGAGGCAGTCAATTTGGTTTGAAATATCATGCAAATAGCAAAGTGATATCTGTTCCTACTCGGCAGGGATAAAAGGAAAAGGGCGGCAGGGGGGAAGGATGATTGGAGATGGAGGGGGGGATTGAAAGCGATGGGGGGGGGGGGCGTCTAAATGAATAGAGCCAATAAAAACAGCCAGGAGCCATTGGTAAAGAGCGAGAGAAGGGCCCTTTAGGGTGTGTTTCTATCCTCCATCTCTCTCACAGAGCGTCAGTCATGTGGACGGAATGAAAGAGTGGAGGAGGGAGAGAGCAGAAGCAGCAAAGAGGGGGGAGGGGATGGATGAACAGGGGATGGAATTAAATGGCCAGACATGTCAGCACCTCTCTTCCACATGTACATGCTCACACACACACACACACACACACACACACACACACACACACCTCCACCCTTTTTGAGGGTGCAGAGAAAGAGAGAATGAGCCCTGAAGGGTTTTCCATTCGTCACTGTTATCAGGCACCAAAAACACACACACACACACACACACACACACACACACACACACACACACA